CAATATTTGATCAATACAGTTATTTGCTTCCCAATTTTTCTTTTCAATACAGTTTGCGATATGAGGAGAACTTCTCTCGCGCTTTTTTTTTTTTTTTTTTTTTTCTTATGGGTAATGTTTGCCAGTGCTCCTGTCGACCCATCTGTCCTTGAAATTAACCAACATGGTTCGCAATAGTCTTTGTTAAGTTCAAGTGAATAACGAGCAAAATCTGTCTCTGAAAACGGAGTTATTAATCATTTTATAATGAATAGAAGAAAATGATCTGCTGTCTTGACTTTGGGGAAAAGCGGTATCTTTTGTCTACAAAGGCCAAAATTTAAAATAAATCTTTTCTCTTTCTGCAGCTTTTCTTATCCTTTGTAATACCTGTATCTTTTGTTTTAATACACAAAAGTGCTTTTAAAATAACGGAAAAAAAATAATTAATGTACATAATATTTGTACGGATGAACTCTATAATGTACCATATATTGAAGTAAACCAAAACAAAAATAAATAAATAAATAAATAAATGGCTAAATATTCGAATAAGACTTCATTTTCATACAATTATGTACACGAAAACTAGTATTGAAATTAATGCGCCTCAGAGTTATAAACTATTTCAATCTGACAAACGAAAAGAAGTGAAAAACTGTGAAAGAAATAGGAAACATAAATAGAAATCAAGAGGAGAGACGGTTCTAACCTTTTTCTAGCTTTTATTCCAGATTAAACCGTTATCGTAAGATTTATGTAAATAAATTAATTGTAGAACGAAGCTTTAAAGCAAGAATTGGCGCAAAGTCTACAATGCGCAAGAAAAGTAGTAATTCTTACCCTCAGTCAACTCATTCGAGTTCTGGGAATTCTAGTGGACTTGAAGAGTTCTTCATTTTTGTCGTCTTTGTCGCATGCTGGCCCCAAAAAATTAAGGGCTTGGTCTTACAATAAAACCGAGGAACAGTTTGTCTCTTGTTAATCACTAAAGACTTGAAAATTCCTTTTTAGAAGGGAATCAAAATAAAAGCATATAGCTTCTCTGCTTTGTATTCATTTGAAGTTTTGGTGTATGTAACACTTAGTTGAGCTTTTTTGTCTGCTTCCAGGAACCCTCTAATTGTGTCATATGACACAGAAGGCGCCTGGAAATTTAAAAAAAGACGGATTCTGATATATATTTTCTAAATTACTTTGGTTTTCTGCTCTTAACTATATTAGAGAGTGCCTTTTATTTAATATTTTGATTCTTAGTCAATTTGTTCAAAATTTCTCAAAATTTCTTTTGTTTAAATTTTTTAGTAATTCAGTACATTTGGTTTTGCTTTTGGTTTTGAATATTACTATACCCATGCCTATATGGATGACGAAACACGAATTGAGTAATTGAAGAGTTAGGTTTGGAGGCAACTTCCCCTTGACAAGATCTGTCTCCTGCCTGATCAACAAGTAGCAAATTAATTTAGTAGCCCACCAGCGGCCGAGCGGTAAAAGCCGCTGAACACTGGTAGTTCGTTCCGGGGTTCGAGTCCCGGCGAACGGGCTGGCTGCTTGGGCGTTTTCGTGGTTTTACCCATGTGTAACGTGGATACGAGCCAGTTTCCCTTAAAAAGACCTCCACGGGGCATCCCTCCCTTTCCGTGTAGTGCCTAAGGGCGGAACACGTAATAAATAAATAAAAAAAATTAATTTAGTCTTAGAAATTTAAAAAAAATTTTAGGATTAATTTTTTGGAATATTATATATTTTCCATGGTTTTAGGATACTTGCACTTAATTTACATATGCTCTCAATTTAAATGATATTGTTAATTAGTTCGCAGCAATAATTAATCTGTTATTTGAATGCAATTAAAATTTCATAATTTAAAAAATTTTAATTAACTTAAAATTAGCTTTACTACGTTACGAATAGAGAATGCTTATTAAATTCAAATTTCATTTTTAAGTTTAAACATATAAATGTAGTTCAACAGGACATTACGCCACTGATTGCATTATATATTAAGTTTACACTTCAAGCTAAAAAAATGAAGAGGACTCAATTTTTGTAACACTTTTTTAAACAGGTAATAACTCAAACTTTAAAATGAAAAACAACCAAATAAGTTACAAAAAAAAGAACAAGTTATAAAATGAAAAAAAAAAAAAAAAAAAAAAAAAAAAAAAAAAAAAAAAATGAATGAAGAGCATAAAAATTATTTAAACATATAATAAAATTTATGGAATAACGTCACTGAAGATAAAAAAATTGTCATAGGATTATGTAGTTAATGTCATAGGATTGCTAATTACTCAAGGTACCACTTAGTTGGTATTTCTTTTTGGACATTCTTCACTACTTTTGGTTTTGACTTTTACCCTTGCTTGCATGAATGGCGAAACACGAATTGAATGATTGAAGAGTTAGGTTAGGAGGCAACTTCCCCTTGATAAGTCCTGTCTCCTGCCTGCTCAACAGTCATTCACTTATGCATTTTTTTTTAAAAAAAAAAATTTAGATTAATTTTAATTTGCTAAATTGGTGAATTTTTTTACATGTTTTGGTTTTGCATTTAATTTACTTATGCAATCTGAATTTAAATGATATTGTAAATTAGTTCTAAAATTAATTCTTTTATATGTTTGCGCATTATTGGAACTTTAAATTTGCTTTTCTACGTATTTAAATTTTTGTTAAAAAATATATATAAAACAGTTCTTTTAAAAAACAAAATATAAACATGCATTAAAATATAATATTTTCGTACATGCGTTTTCTCAGCGTGAAGACTGCTGAGAAATTATCAGTAAAGACATAAAGTAAGAAACTTAGAACTAACTTTTCACAAAGACCAAAAATTGAAATTCATAATAAATAAATTTCATATAATCCTACAAATTCAATAAAGAATTTAAAAAATGTTAAAACCAAAACTTTCCAAACAAACAATACCCTAATTAAAAAAATTAATCAAATTTAAAGAAAAACGAACATAATAGAAGAGAAATTCCATCAACTTCAATGCTACTTCGTCAGGAGTAGGAACACTGAAATCAATTGAAAAGTCTCTTCCACAAAAATCCTTTCTTTTCTGTATCCAGAATTAGCCGATGAACCATTTCAATGTATTTTAATTATAATAGTTCACCCGAAAATTCTGGTCGCTCCCCAAAGCAAGGGAAAAAAACAAATTAAATTCTAATAAAAATTTTGTACCTTAAATAAAGAGAATTCTATTCAAAGAATTTTCTTTCAAAACTTTAGTGAAAAATTCAAATCAACGTTTTAAAACAAAAAGCGTATAATCCTAAGAATTGAAAAAGTAAGTGAAATTATAAAACTTTAGTGAACACTTTTTAATTACTTCTTGTGAGTTTTAATTCTTTTTCTGAAGTTTTATAATTTCACTTACGTTTTAAATTCTTTGGATTATATGCTGTTTGTTTAAAGGTAAAATTTTGATTTGAATTTTTAATTGAAGTATTTTTATTATTTTATTTACGTTTTCAAATCTTTAAATAGAATTATCTTTATTTAAGGTACAAGCTTCTAATTAGAATTTATATTGCTTTTTTTTTCCTTCGGAGAGGGAACATAATTTTCGGGTGAACTATTATAATTAAAATACATTGAAATGGTTCATCGACTAATTCTGGATACAGAAAAGCAAGGATTTTTGTGGAGGAGAGATTTCAGATGATTTCAGTGTTCCTTCTCCTGACGAAGTGACATTGAAGTTGATAGAATTCCTCTTCTAATATGTTCGTTTTTCTTTAAATTTCATTAATTTTTTGAATCGGGGTATTGCTTGTTTGAAAAATTTTGGTTTTTAACATTTTTAAAATTCTTTATTGCATTTATAGGATAATTTGAAATTTATTAATTATGAATTTCAATTTTTGGTCTTTGTACAAAATTAGTTTTAAATTTCTTACTATATATATATACATTTCTTACTATATATAATACATTTCTTACTATATATATATATGACATAATGTACTTAAATTCATATGACATAATGAAGATATACTGAGACCAAGCCCCTAATGAAGATATATCGGGAGATGTAAAATCCATTTGCCTTTACTTCTGCACTTTTTTCACTTTTCTATTGTGCTAATTTTTGTTCGAATTTTGTTTTTTACACAAGGTTAGTCTAGGAATTTTGAAACAGGAGTCATTTACTTGTTAGTATTTTACATTTGCTCAAGAAAATATACCAATTCATTATTTTAATGGCTCATTTGATTTAAAATTTGCTTTATTTTAATTTTAAATTTAATATGTATGTTCAGAAATTACTGTTTCAAATATATTTCAGCTTTTTATCTTTTTCTTTTATCATGGATTACAGTATGGTTCTAATTCAAACCAATATATTCACGACTTCCAGCACTTGCTATTTTGACGATACCATGGTATATGCATTTTCACTCTTCCTATTCACATTTATGCTCGTTTTCCCTTAAACTCAGGAAATCTCAGAAAATTCTCTCACAGTTTTTTGACATAATTTTTTAATTTATTGCTAAAAGAGTAATTCATATATTTTAATATTTTACGTGAAAGACTCAAAACCTGTTCCCATAATACGTAAAAGCATAGCAAAATGTTATCATCGAAAAATATTTTTATTCAATATAAACAATACCTTAAAATAATTTTATTTCATCAGCTGGTCAAACCAAATCAAACGCCCTCAGTTTATTGCATTGTATTTATATTGCACAATCAGCCTGTAGAGACATAAGGATTTTTGAAGTAGGAGAAATAAAAAAAGAGTAATGCCCTCGGCGGGACTCGAAGTTGGACCTCACGAATATGTGCCGGGTGTGCTGCTGTTACACTACGAAGGGATGCAGAAAGGAGGGAGAAAATACCTTACATACTTCCCCTTTTAAAGGGCGAATGGGGATTAGGGAACCCAATCGCCAAATCCTGTTGGTGAAGAATCATCATCCACCAATTTTTTAGCTCGGGCGCCACTGTAAAGCCATTACTTTTTTTATGTGGGAGACGTGAAAAATGAACAATACCATCGCCGGGACTCGAACCTGGACCTCTCGAATACATGCCAAGTGTGTTACCGTTATACCACGAAGGCATGAGGAAAAGAGGGAGAAAATAACTTACAAACCTTCTCTTATCTAATTAATAAACAAGTAATTATAAATGGATAAATGCATAGTTTTACTAATATATTAATCCTAGATTCAAATATTTTCAAAGCCGGTATAAATACTTTAATCCTTGATTAATTTATGATTTAAAATACTTCTTTTGAATTGCAGGACAAAACTATCATATTTCAAGAATTTTGCTATTTTCTGTCCTCTTCAAGCGTTTAATTCAAAAACATAATGATCGAAATCTAGATAAAAATCATTTAGACAGAGCTTTAGAGATTGAGTTTTTTTAATGCAAAATGTTTATTTAAATGATTATTTAATACTTGAAAAACTCATTATTACAAATGACATGTAAGAAATAAAGGGAAATAAAGGCCATGATGTTAACGGAAAAGGAATGTGTAATTATGCCATCTTTTGCAATTTTTGATAAGCTTACGTGAGTCTGAAAAACAATCTGTAGCTGATCTATTTATTTCTCTTTCTAATTCTTCAGCAGTCGAAACACGAGCTTCAACAAATAATTTTTCCATAGTTTCAAGAACCTTTTCATCTTCGATAAATTCTAACATTTTATCTATAAATTCAGTAGGTAAATCTTTCTTATTCAGAATGTCACAAAAGCTTTGAATTATGGGATTTCCATGAGAGATGAAATTTCTTAGATTTAGTCCTGAGAATAAACTGTTCGATTTTGTCCATAAATCCTTCAACCCTTTATGTTTATGTAAAGAGTTCATGCAATCAAAAAGAATCATTTCTAAAGAGATTTGGATTTCAGTTTTTTCCATATAACGCTCGATCATAAGAGTTCTGGCGAGTTCTTGACATTTTCCACTTTTTTCATTCCACATTCTTTGAATCTGTTCATTTTCATTTATCAGGATATTTTTCATCATTTGTATTCTGTTTCTTAAGAAGTTTAATTTATGTTTCACAAGATTGAGCAGCTTTTTTTTAACTTTCCTAGGACACGCGGGGCTAATATTCGAGATTATCGCTTCGTATTCGGATTTTGTTAATACTTTCTTAAGAAAAATGTTTTCTTCTATATCCCTAGCACTGTTCAACGCTACTAAAGCTTCTTTCGTATTAGTTCCGAAGTTTTTCCTTAAAACATTTCTCTCGGCTTTCCTTATATGTAAATCTTTAAATTTTGTTTTTCTTTCATCATCCGAAATTATTTGTTCCCCTTTTAAGCAGGCTTTTAATATCTGCTTTGCTTCTATCTCCTTACGAAACCCTACGGGTAGGCCTTTTTTGATGAGGCGTTTTTCTCTCGGTGTAAAATATTGATAATTTCTAACAGCATTATGGAATAATTGTATGTGCTGGCATTCATAATATGGTTCGTTACTTATATTCACAAATATTTCTCCAATATGGAACCGAATATCATCTATAAACTTAAGAAGAATGTTTTTCGTCTCATCATCCAGTTTTTCGCTCTTACAAAGCTTTATACACTGATCACATAATTCAACTTTTGTTTTGAGAGCTGATGAGTTCTTGGCAATGAAAAGGAAAACCGGAAGAAAATACTTCAGCATATCTTTTACGGTTTCTGTTCGTATTTCATTATTTGCACAAGATGACTGTGAGACATTAATTTTTTTATTATTAAGAAAATTATTTAAATAATTTAAAATGTTTTTAGCCGTTGTTTTATATATAAGCTTCCCTGTTTCGTCTAATGATTCTTTCATTATCTTAATATTCTTACAGTCGTCGCGAAAGATACTGCGATGGTGAACATTTGAAGCAGTACCGCAGTATCTAATCTCTTGTGATGACGCAAGCTTCAGTCCTCTATGTATTAAGTATTGCTGTAAATCTAAATACAGATTAAATCGCAAATGCGTACGTGTATACATTAGATTTTGAAACTCTTTTTGAATAATCATAAAACGAGAAATGTCCTTTTCCATAGCAAGCCTAAATTGAGAGGAATGCGCATAATAATGGGATAAACAACTGTTACGAATTTTTAAGAAATGTTCTTCAACCTCTTGTGTTAAGTACGCACCCAGTAAGTAACAAAATTTAGACGAATTGTTATTTGATGGACATAATTCTCCTATTACTTGGAGCGCCCTTTCAATTAAAAGAACAGAAATAGATTTATTTAGGTCATTCATATTTTCATCAATAATTGTTTGCGCAGCTGCGCCCAGGTAGTGGTTAAACCTCCTGCATCGAAACATATCCATGACCACTGATAAAGAAGATAAACTCCTTCTGATCAAATCTTTATCTTTTTCATTTCGGAAGAGAGTGGCACCTTTAAATTCGTTTATAAACTTAGAAATCTCATGTTGAAGGTAAAGTCTTTCATAAATGGCTGGCAACATTTTAGATTTGTTTTTTGCAAACTCGCATTCTTCACGACTCATAGTACAGTTTACGCACTGTACTTCATGTTTAAATGGCGTAATGCCTCTGCGAATCAAAATTAAAATATAAAATGATTGAGTAAGACATTCGAATGTATCTGTGTACTTTAAATATTCTTGAATATGAAAAACGTTTTCAAAAAATAAGATGCAAGCAAAAGCATCTAAATTTTCGTAATAGTCAAAACAATTTATGTAATCAAACAACTCGTCATCTGCATCTATCTGAGGCCCATTTGAAAAGTAAAAAAAATTAAGGTAACACTCTAAAATACCCAAGATAACGTTTTTACCTTTTTCAAATTGAATAATATCGGAAACGGGTTTTCCTGCAAAACTGTCTTCTATATTCTTAATTTTAATCATTACTTCTTGCTGAAATTCATTAAACTTGTGATACAGTCTTGAGATCCTTAAAATTCGATCGTTATTGCTGGAATTATTCATCTCTACCCTTAAGATCTCGCCAATTTTACGCAAATTTGTTAGATAGTTTGTTTTTGGATCGTCTGTCTGATTATTGAATAACTTAGAACCAATTTTATATTTATACAGAATCTTAAGGTACTTAGAATCAACGTGATTTATTGCGTCGTAAAACCCCGAGTGTCCGTTTATAAAAACTAAGGGATCAGTCTCGAACCCAGCTTCTGATAGTTTGACAGCAACATAGGGGTTATTATAGATGGAAGGCAACATTTCACTTGTCGATGAATCGCTTAGAAGGCACTTTATAAAATGTTTATCGTTATTGGTCATTTGCCACAGTCTTTCTATAGCTTCAGTACTTCCTTTTATCATTTTAAATAGAGCATTAAAAACTTGCTGTCGTAGAGGGAGCACTTGTTCAGGAAATAAACCTAAATTGAATGCATTATTTCTATCGAATAATATTATAATATTATTATATTCTGGATTGTTATCAGACTGGTAAGTCTTTATACTCCACTTCTGAATTCCTTGGTCGTCTCTCTGCGTAAAAACATAGATGCAACATTGCAACATAGAAGAAGCTGTCTGTAGTTTACGTGGTATGCTTGAAAACGCTTTCCCTGTCTTAAAACGTTTTGAAAGTTTTGTTAGATTTGACATAAAAGTTTTTAACTTTTCACGCATGTACGTTGATTCGAAAATGCTGAGCCTGTCTTCCGAAAACGGGTTGAAATTACTTATAATCTCCTCCATTTTTTTTATTTCTGTATTAGGTATTCCTAAACATTTTATTCGATAATTAAAGGTAAGTTTTTCCTCAGATAGTAGCAGGTAAGCTAAAATTAGAGACCAATGCAGATTTTCCTCTGTTGGCACTCCAATCTCCCAGCATTCTGCAAATGAAGGTACTCCAGTCGATGTCAAGTCCCATAGCTTGGGAACGAGTATATTTCCTTCGGTCTTCGCCAGCTGCATCTTAAAAAGAAAATACTTATTTTTAATATTATGAAAACTACGTAACGTATCACTAAATATTAAATTTAAATATAATCTAAAATCAGAGCCATATACAATTAAAATGAACAGATTTCTAAAACTTAAGCGCGAGAGAGGAAATTCAACGTGACTGGTAAAGTTATACTTCGATTGTTTCGAAACTTTTTCTGACTTCACATCACTATGATTTTATCTTAAATTGGATGTTTGAACCTATGTTAAAATCTTTGACAATCTGTTCCAAATGCCTATTTCGCACGAATAAGAATGTAAGAGAAATTCTAAATAGAGTAAGAACCTATATTAAATAAGAAAAAATTGTATTAGCTCTCATTTCAAAGCAAACTTCTGTAAGAAATAGCTGACAGCAGCGGAGGACCTCTGATAGAGTAAGTTCTTGATTTCTTGATTTACCGCCTTAATATTAGGTATTTAGTCTTTGAATCTTAGCGAATCACATATAAGATAGAATTTTATAAAATAATATGTGTTTTTTGTTTTCCTTGCCAGTAACGGAAGTAAATTTGTGTTAAGTTCGTTTCTGTATTTCTAGCAGAAGTATCAAATAAGTTTTATTCGATTGATTTTACATCAATGTTGTGTTCATTGCTTTCTGAGTTTACGATAGAAGTCGCGATGAAATTTCGTCTTGCAAACTTAAAGATTAAACTAGTTTATTCTGGGCAAATTTGAATTTAACCTTACACGTTCAGGACTGAAACATTACAAAAAATATTTAGATACATTTGTAATCATTTATCGCAAAGCGTACATTAAAAATATTTATACGTAAATGATGCAGACAAATGAAATTTACCTTAATAAAAATTGACATCTCCTCTGATCTTTATAAAAACCCTGCAGTTACTTTCCATACCTTCAAATCAGTAATACAAGAGGTAACTGCCATTCTTTTAATATTGCAATTCCAAGCTCTTTAATAACTGGAAAGAATAAAAGGATAGATGAAGCACATCCAAGAATAACCAAAGATTTTCGATAGACCAGAGATTGGGCGAGTATGGCGGCTAGTCTAAGCGAGCTGTTTGTTCACTGAGGTTCTCATCCATTAGATTTACTTCATACGGAGAGAGTTGAAGCAGTCGTGGTGTGGTGGTCTGCACACTGGGCCGGTATTCCAGAGGTCCGCGGTTCGATTCCCTGCGAAGGCGTTGTTAATTTTTCATCTTTCCTGCTCCCAAAATACCTAATGTCTCTACAGTGGCGCCCGAACTAAAAGGGTGATGGATGATGCTTTCTCCCCATCCAGGATTTGGCGATTGGGTCCCCTAAAAACCCCAGTCGCCCTTTAAAAGGGGGAGTATATAGGGTATTTCTCCCTCCTTCCTAGCGTGCCTTCGTGGTGTAGTGGTTCTGCACGCTGAGCCGATATTCCAGATGTCCGTGGTTCGATTCCCGGCGAAGACGATTGCTCATTTTTCATCTTGCCTGCTTCCAAAAAAATAACTAATATCTCTACAGCATCTAGTTAGACTTAAAATAATACTATAAGTTTCTGTACTGTGTACTTTAAAGTTACAGTTGAATGTGAAGAATCTTAAGAACTGATAAGCGAATAATCACTTGAGTTCGTGGTACAGAAAACAACAAGATAGAAGGGTGTGTAAGAAATTTTTATGTGGAAATATATTTTAATCGCCAAAGAGGGCGTAAATCTTTAATGATGTTATACTTCTTGTTCTTGGATCTGGCAGTGCCAGTTGAATGTGTGTTAGACTTGAATAAACTTGGCAGTTTTGAAACCTGATTTGTAATACTGTAACTACTTTCTGTTTAACATCTGAAACTGCTTCTACTTCAGGAATAATATTTTTACAAAATAACTTATTATGATTTAAACCATTACACAATTCACAAGGCTGAAGTTTCATTTTACATCTGGAAGATACATGACCTCTCTTAAAACGCCTATAACAACGTCCATGGTATTTTAATACCGCTCTTTTTTGCTCATTTGTTTTCTCACATTTTCCTACATCATGTGTATTTTGATTACAATAGAAACAATATGGCTTAGTCACTGTGGCTAACGCCGAAGCAAGTAGGAACGCTGCCCCTTTTAAGTAATTATTTTTATTCTGCTTAACTCCGTAATTTGTGTCCCTTTTCTTTGAGTTTATTATTAAATTAGAAGCTTCCCGACTCTCAACCTCCAATCTAATCTAATGAATTCGAGAAGTTCCGTTAGGCTATATCGCAGTTTAGAGTTTCTTTTTCTATTAAACTCTATCCCTTTGTGATGTTATGTGTGATTTGAATTAGTGTTTTTTAAACCAGGATAACTTGAAAATCTTGACGCTTATTATAATATTTTATATTTTTGGCGCCCAACAGTTGCGCACAAACAGTTTTTTGATTTAGAATACAGTGTTTTTTCGTGTAACTGAAAAATTATTCCTTTGCACTGAACGTGACAGGATAAACGTTCAGAATACTTGTGAATGTGCTTCACCAGGAAAGTGAGTTCCTAAATTAGGATTATACCATTTGAAGCCTGCACCAAGTAAGAGAATAAAATTACTTTTGTTGTTATTATGGCAAACGATATTATTTAAATTGAAAGCTACTAGAAAAACTTTGAGACAAGCTATTTCTAAAATAATAAATGTTGTAGAATTTGAAATTAAAAAAGACATTTGGGATAAGAATATGGTAGAAGAAAATGTGCTTTTACTTACTTCTAAACAGTCTGCGTTGAAAGAAATTAATGAAAAAATATTGGATTGTTTTAAAGGGGATGAGTCTGAAATTGAGAAAGAATGTAATACTGTGTTAGAGTATGATGAAAAAAAAACGAGTTTATGTATTTTTAGGGCTAAAAAGAAACTTAATTTAAATTCTCCGATAGTGAGCATTGAAAGTGAATTGCCTGGTAACCATACTGCTGCCGTAAAGGTCGAAAACAAAACTAACATTCGGTTACCTAAAATTTCAATTCCTAAATATTATGGTGATCCTAGTTTATTTTTGGAATTTTATAATTCTTTTGAAAATGCTATTGGTAATAAGAATGAGTTAACAAAGGTCGGGAAGTTTACCTATCTTAAATCCTTACTCGCAGGACCTGCTTTAAGTGCAGTATCTGGGTTTGCACTATCTAGTGAAAATTATGACGTTTCTATAAGTTTATTTAAAGAACGATTTGGACGAACAGATTTGGTAATATCTTCGCACATGAATAAACTTTTGAATCTTGAACCGGTTAGAAGTTCATCCAATGTGAAAGCACTAAGAATACTTTACGATTCTTGTGAAATCAATATACGAAGTTTAAATTCATTAGGTATTGTGTCGGAAGCTTACGGAACCCTTTTAGGACCTGTTATTTTAAAGCTTTTACCAGACGATATGAATCTGGAGTTTAATAGAAAAAGAAACTCTAAACTGCAATATAGCCTAACGGAACTTCTCGAATTCATTAGATTGGAAGTTGAGAGTCGGGAAGCTTCTAATTTAATAATAAACTCAAAGAAAAGGGACACAAATTACGGAGTTAAGCAGAATAAAAATAATTACTTAAAAGGGGCAAGCGTTCCTACTGCTTCGGCGTTAGCCACAGTGACTAAGCCATATTGTTTCTATTGTAATCAAAATACACATGATGTAGGAAAATGTGAGAAAACAAATGAGCAAAAAAGAGCGATATTAAAATACCATGGACGTTGTTATAGGCGTTTTAAGAGAGGTCATGTATCTTCCAGATGTAAAATGAAACTTCAGCCTTGTGAATTGTGTAATGGTTTAAATCATAATAAGTTATTTTGTAAAAATATTATTCCTGAAGTAGAAGCAGTTTCAGATGTTAAACAGAAAGTAGTTACAGTATCAGATTCTAAGCAGAATGTAGTTGCATCCCTGTCGTTTAACTCTAAGACTGTTTCTGAAACTGCTGATAAAGGTGTATATTTACAAACTTGCGCTGTTTACGCTTCAGATACAGATAATATTAGAAGCCAAATAGTAAAAATTTTAATTGATAGTGGATCACAGAGGTCATTTATTAGATCTGATTTAGCTAAAGAACTAAAATTAAGGACTTTAAGGAAAGAAAGGTTATATATTTATTCCTTTGGGTATATCCCAGGTAGACTAATGGAATATAATGTTGTTCAAATTACCCTGAAAAGTATACATTGCCCTAATGACTCAATCACTGTTGAAGCTTTTGTTACAGATACACTTTCTGAAGCGATCAAAAAAATTCCCTCCAAAAACATTTTAGAAATATTAAAATCAGAAAATCTAAAATTAGCCGATAATGGTGAAGCAGCTCAAAAAAAAAATATTGTTAGGATCTGATTCATGTTGGGAAGCTCAAACAGGCGAAAAGAAAAGAGTAAGTAATAAATTATTTGCGACGTCTTCTATATATTTTTGGTCCTTGGTTGGATCTTTGGAAGGTGATCAGTCTAGTGCCTGTATTTTTACAACTCGTACTTCTCATTGCTTGAAGGAAGATAATAATTCAGTTAATGACTGTTTGCGAAGGTTTTGGACCACTTGGACTAGAGCAAAACGAGAATCCTGACGATAAATCAGTCATTGAGAAATTTGAAAAAAGAATTGCATTTTACTAATGGTAGATATGTAGCTCATTTCTTATGGAAATCACATCATGTATACTTGGGTAATTTCGAAAATACCAAGCGACGTTTAGTATCTTTGGTTAATAAACTAAAAAATGATGAATGGCTTATAGAGAATTATGATAGCATAATAAACGAACAGTTAAAAATTGAAATAATTGAAAAGTGTGAAATTGAAAGTTGTGACAGTAGTAAAATGTATTACATGCCACATTCTCCAGTGGTAAGAAAAATGTATCAAAATCTAACGTCCGCATCGTGTTTGACGCATCTTCGAAGTGTAATGGGGTATCTCTGAACAATTGTTTGATGTCAGGCCCAAATTTGAATCCTTCTGTTTTGGACTTGATATTGCGGTTCAGACGATACAAA